TTCTGTCTTGGAGGTGGAAGCTAATAAATGCCAAAGAACTGTATCTGCACTGTCTCGGTGAGTTCTTTGGGCTGAACCTGACATCAGTCTCTCCAGACTCAATCTAAACTTCCCAAGCCAGCAAGATTCCTTAGGGTGGTGCCAGTCTCATCTTCTTAACCTTCCCACACTCCTGCTGGGGGCTAAGGAAATGCTTATCTCCCCGAGCGTGGCCTTCATCAAACCATTCCATCACATGGCCCTATTCAGTTCTAAGGTTAGTGGGTGCATTGGCACGCAAGGCTAAATCTGGTTTTAATCTTGGTTAGAAGTGCTTGGGGGGATGATTTTGTCTGATACGTGAACCTGGTTAGTCGTGGGGTTATGCAATCCCCAAAATGCTTACTTTAACTAGGTTAACAGTACTGTATGAACACAGCCACAATGTGCAAAGCCCTTAATTTGTGGGTTGGACTTGAGAGATTAAAAGACTTAGCTCCATTGGGCAGCAAGAAAGAGAAATGGCTGAGCTTCCACATTGTGCTAACCTATAATGTGGTTTGTTTGGTGTTTGGCTTCAGCTACTGCAGCCTGTTTACCGTGATTTATGGCACAGATGAATAGGTGTCCAGCAACAGCTGTGATGACGTCAATATGATGTCTCATGCATCATGATGTCATTTTGGCAATGATGTGAACCACATCTGTTTATTTATGACACTTACAGGCCACCCCAATCTGTTACGACTCTAGGCAGCTTACACAATACAACAATAAAATACACTAACAATATCTGATACAAATTGATGCAAGTATGCAATTTGTGTCATTTGCATTATGATAACGTGGCACATATAATGTCACCTATCCTCATATTCCAACAACCATACTTAATAGATCTCTAGGTGGCTTGACATGTGACCCCAGGTCATCTATTTTAGTTATTATAGAGTTCACATAGTCAGTTCATAGCAGTTCTTCAGGCAGCACATAAACATGTAAGCCACATTTGCACAATATCTGGGTTAACAAAACAGAATAGCTGGGTTCGCATAACATGCTATGCTCAAATAAACCATGTTTTGGCTTGACATAATGACCTGGTTCACACAACATGCTAATAAGACAAGAGCTGGATTTTCTCATGGGATGCTGAACCACAAACTGCCCAAACCCATTTAGCATAGTCTAACTTGTGTGTTGTGTAGTGTAATGCTGTGGTGTAGCGTATAGCATAGCATAGCATAGCATAGCATAGCATAGCATAGCATAGCATAGCAATCTACATAGCAGAGTAATTTATTTGGTCAATGACCAGCACCAAACTTGTTGTGTGAACCCAGATGTGCAGTAATTCTTATATATTATTAAAAGAACTGCTATAATTAATTTTTTAAAATGCATTTAAAGACTTAAAAGATAACCAAGCTTAACAAGCAGATATTTTAAACTCTGATTTACCAGATCTCGATACTACAGACTTTGCACACAATGAAGTCAATTTCCATGACAATTTCCATCTTTTGCATAATGATGTCATCATTCAAATCATGTAAATTGCCATGATGATGCCCTTTCTGATTTAACAGACAATCAGGAATAACAGACCCTCCCTCCCCGGAACTGATCCGTTAAATCAAAGTTTCATTGGTATCATATAGGCCTGAGAAAAACAACACGCTGCCTCTTTGTACTGACTTCTGCCGTCATCTTTGCAATTAGAGCAGGCGGGATGGCTCCACACAGCACATTGCGACGCAAACCAGGATTCTTGGGGTCTTTCAGGTTGCTAATCCGGCTCCTTACTCGGTTTCGGTATTTCATATCTGTGCTCTTCAGCTCTTGGAAGATATGTGGCAGCATTAAGGAATAAGTGGAAAAGGAAGAGCACATGCAGAAACGCGCATTTCAGAATTCCTGGGGTGGTTTCTGCTTCCTCACCCCACCTTTCTGCTCCAAGGATTTCCCCCCCCACCCTGAAGATGTATTTATTTATTTATTTAGGGGTATTCCTCTGCCAACTAGCATGGGGATCCAATGGGGGCTTGCAGCACTGGGGGTGATTGGTGGCTGGAGAACGCTCTCTCCATCTTTTAACTTTGTATATTTTGGTAAAGACTTTTATCATTTTTTTATTGTTTTTTTACTTGTAAGCCACCCAGAGTCACTTATACAGGGAGATGGGCAATGTATGCATGTGATTAATAAAATAAAAATAAACAAACAAACGAACATGGGATCTTGCGGATTCCTCCATCTTCCGCACAGATGGAACGGACCTGCCTACCGCAGAGACTGAGAATTGCCCTTAGTCCTAAAACCTGGGTACATCCTTTGATATTTCTCATTAGTCCCATTTCTAATTATGCCTAATACATTCCCAAAGGAGCACACCTTTCGTCAGAAGCAGGAGGCACGTAGTTCCTACACAAAATAAAAAATAAAGACTCTCTCAACTCAGACCCTGCTGACCTCACCAATACATCCATTCAGTTTATCTGGCTACAGTACTGTAGAGAAGTAGTTTGCTATTGCCTTCTGAGATTTTTCCCCCCATCTTCACAGAACAGCCTAAAGCCCTGAGTTTTCCTGGTGTCTCCCACCCAACAACTGTCCAGGTCTGAGCCCATGTAACTTTCTTTCTTATTTTTAAGATCAAACCAGGCTGCCTAGTATCAGACTTCACACCAGAGACATCAGAAAATCTCAGCTGTGCAAGAATGTAGCCTCGCTTTCAATAATCAGCTAACAGCAGAAGCTTCATATACTCCACAGAGCTAGGCTGGCTGTTTTACTGCAGACAAGACAGCAGTCACATATATGCAGAAAGTCTATCTGCTCACTGCAGAATACAGGAATCAAGATGCATATATATATGTATGCATGTACGTCAGACTCAGGGTTTTACATCTTAAGCCATTACCTCCTACCCTTTAAAATCAACAGACTTTTGGCTGTTCTTGTTCCCCAGCCTTGAACATCAAAGATATCCACTCCAGGTTGACCTAACAGTTCTGTCTGGCCTAAACATCGTTGGCTCCCACCTCACCAGTTTCAACCCTTACAGCTCTCATCTGCAGAGCTACACAAGACAGATCTTTTTCCATTGGTCGGCCCTATCTCCTGTCCTCCGTCCCATCAAGCGTGAACCAGCAGAGCTGCTACAAGATACCCAGCAGAGGAGAAACGCAGGTGCTGGTGTGGTACTAGAGATAGATGATACAGATTTTTCTTCTAGCCCCTACAGAGAGGAATACCTAGATATAAAACACCATTCTAGAGTGGTGAGGAAGTCCCATCTGTTCTCTTGGTTTCTTTTACGGGGACAGATTTCAATGCAGATTTCCCAGACCCATGTTTTTGGCCTGATTTAAAAAAAAAGTTCAAGGAAGCACCTCTTGAATCTGTACAATTCAGCAGCTTTTGTTTTCACCTACCATGGCAACATCTATCCAATATTTGCATAAACCTTTCCCAACCTGATGTGTTCCCCACCCATACTAATAACCAGCAGGCCCGAATATCAGAAAGATATGATCTTCAATCTCAGCTGCCATCTTATCACACTTGACCCCAAATTCCTTGTAATCGTCTTTGATGATGATGAAGAGGATAAAGAAGAGGAGGAAGAAATGAAGACGGGGAAGGAAGAAAAGATCATTCAGCACAAGCAGGTGAATCTCAGTTTTGTGTCCAACCACAGAAACTGTACTTCTATACTTACATAGTTTTAAAAAAAATGGGTAAGATAATTAACTTTAGTATCAGGCAGACTTTACTTACAGAAGGCCCATTAATATCAATAATGCCACAAGCAGTAGCAGCAGCAGAAATAGTTGCTTACTTTTTAAAGTGAGCTTTTTAACTGTAGTTAGTTTTCTCCGCTGTATTTATATGGATCAGAAGCATCTGCAGGATCTGATGCTTTCATCAAAGTTATGAGCATCTTGCCATAAGCTCTGTCCCTTCCATACCCACGTGTGACGTCATGATACACACACCAAGGGGGCAACGCTTACATTCTGACAGCACGATGCTCTTCTCATTCTTTTCCCCCTTGACTCCCCCTGCAAATGCCTCTGATTTGGACTTGCTTTTCATTTTCTTGTTGCTCTTCATTTTATCTTATTTTACAAACTGTTTTTATCTGTCAGTATTTTTTTTTTTTTGTCCTTCCTTGGAATCTGTATTTTTTGCTGCTACTTGGTCTCTGACCATAAATAAAATTGCTACTTCTGCTACTATCAATCAACCTATATCAATAACTCAGGTAATGCCTCTGTATTTATGTAATCCAATCAATGTTCATGTACTTCACACATCACTGGCTTGATTGCTTCTCCTGTTTTGCATTTCCTCAATCTTTTGCCATGCAGGTATCTCCCACCACAATGGAAGCTGGAGATAAAAGCATCTGGATCAGAGTTCCAGGTCTAATAGACTGTAAACTCCTTAGGTCCCCATGACTTTCCACCTAAGTTAATTCCTGAATCCCCCAGGAAGTTTTGTTTCTCACCATCCATTTTCAGGGCTGCAGAGACCATCTCAATACACTTGTCTCTAATGGAGTCTCCTGTCAAATAGCAGGAGGGCAAGAAGCAGACAGAAGTCCCAAATGTTGGCGTGACTGGACTGGCTGGCATCCTGGGAACCTCACCTCGAGATTTGTCATTTGATCTGAGCAGGACAAGAAGTGAGATTTTTGCATTAAATGAACAATGCAAATACTATCATGATGAACGCTTTAAAATAGCCTCTTCAAAAGCCACCCAAGACTGTTTGGGATCATAGAGGTCAAGAGCAGTCAAATTATTTTGGCACCCAGGGCCAAAACTATGCTACTCACCTCTCCCTTCCCTAGCTGCAAAGATCCAATAGAAAGACATTAATTACTAATTGTTTGCTTTCTTTTCTTGAAACCTGAATCAGCAGGCTGAGCAAGCTGGTCCCCTTGCTTGGAGGACCAGCTTGCAGGGCCAGTTCCAGGCTTAATCTGGGCTGTGTTACTTAGACTTTATGCAAGGACTCATGTGGTTAATCAGCATGTTCATACAACATGCTTTAACCAGGTCAGGTAAAGATTGAAGGGATGTATTTGCACAACATACCAAGCTTGGTTAGCATGCATTTCCATTCCATCTTTGGTGCTTAGCTTACAAATCCAGCCTGATTGGTTGCACTGGTAAACCCAGCAAATGGGTTAAATGAATCTCCAGATTACAAGTTTGGTATGAATCCAGCCAACTTAATTGAAAGCCAATACTGCATTTGCAATGGCATGAAATATACCATTCCTTTTCTCTCTCACACACAATATTAGATCATCCCATGGAACACTTGTGGACAATTCAGAAGAGGCAAAAATGAAGGCTACACAAGAAGCCACTTGCAAGCAGACACAAGCTATGTCCTTTGCAGAAGGACAACCCTCTATCTGAACATGTCCTCTGTTTAAAAAGCTGCCAAATTCATATTTGGTCTATGAGAAAGGGATGGAAGACATGATCTATGGAAGAGCAGCCAGAGGTCTTTAAGGAGTTTATACAACAGAAGAAACTGTCCATCAAACTGAGTAGGCACCCTGGTTACTTGGCCACATGATGAGATATTTCATGTTCCTATCTAAGCATCAGTACTTTTTTTTTCCAAACATAAATCTTTACCCTGTAAATATCTTAAACTACTTTTCCATGATCTATGACTGGAATAGCAGCTCCTGGAGAGAAGCAACTGAAGAGGGTTATTGCCTGCACACTCCTTTTGGTTGGCCTATCAAACAATGCCAATTGGCAATTGGATCCATTTAATTTTTTGGCCTGATCTCCATTCTTATATCTCAAGGTTTGACTGTCCTTTATGTATCTAGTTTATTCTGTTTTTCCTTTGATTTGGAACACCCCCACCCAACAATACCTTTCATCTTTGCTATCCTCCTTGTTTTTATGAGATCCAGGAGACGACGCCACCGGGTTGGAGCTGGTAGAGGCTCTCCTAAAGAGGATACAGATAAGTGCACCATAACGAATACAGGTCAGATCATGATAATACAAAGAATTTCAACTAAATCCCATATATAATTCAAGATCTTTGCTCACATGCTGTTTATATTGGTATTTGAAGGGCCTGGCAACCTCAAATTTCAACTAAATCCCATATATAATTCAAGATCTTTGCTCACATGCTGTTTATATTGGTATTTGAAGGGCCTGGCGACCTCAGTGCTCTCCCTTGATCACATGATGATGATCTGATCTTGTTTCCAGTCAGATCTTTCCCTGTGTAGATCCAACTAATTTTTCCTACCAACAGGGTCCTGTCTCAACAATGAAGCATTAAAAATATACTGTACTTTTCCATTCCTTTGCAGTGAGATCAAGTCAGGTGACTTGAAAGGGCTGTGGACTGTGTGAGAAGGTGTGGATATACTCTCTGCTTTAGATTACTGGCCAGGAGTGGGACATCCCAGTCATGCTATGGACTAGACATTGACCAATCACTGGCCAGAAAAAGCAGCACCTAACCCAAGGGACAATGAACATGGGATGGAAGTCCCAGTCTCAACAACCTATTTTAGGCTGGCTATGAAACATTTCGCCCAAGGTTTAGCGGGGGCTTGTCTTTTGTAAGTCTTTAACAACTGCACTGATCCCACAAGCTTTTGGTAAGGACAATGGGCCTGGGCTGTTACGGTAGGTGAATTTTTTGTTCGTTTATAATCTTGTTTTATTCTATATTTTTCTTGTTTGTAAACAGTCCTGTTGGTATAAATAAATGAATGAATGAATAAAACACTATGAGACAAGCCCTAATATCTCAATCAGTCTAAACCTGGTCTATAGTATGCATATTAACCAATCCCCAAAAGCATTCTGCAAATTTTAAATCAGTATATATGAAAATGACAGTGGTTATATGTAAGTTTCCCTAACTTATTGCCCAGATACATGCAGGTTTGTACACGATTATTCCAAGCATACACTTTTTGGAGGTATAAAACTTGGGGGGGGGGGGAGAAGAAGAGGAATGCATTTTGTTTTGTTAGCAATTTTCACCAATAGATGCATTTCTTATACCCGGTGTGATAAGCAAAGAAATCGCTTCAGACAAAAGCTATTAGTTCTTGTGAACGCCAAGTTCACATGCTCCTGAATATGTTTTGGGGGACTGTATCATGTGGCTGAAAAGGTGATCCAGCATGAAAACACATTCCTAAGGAAACACAGATTTGCCACTGAAGCTATCACTCCAAAGCAGCCATATCACATCAACATCCCTTTTCCATTAAGGTTGATGACCTCCATGCCTAATCCTTATCTAGCACCACTTCCTGATGATGGTTCCCAGAGGCTGTGTTTGACTCCGCTGAAGCCTTTCATCAACCAGAATCAAAACATCATTTTTCTGAAAACAGATGCAATATAAAACTCGTCCATGCTAACATATAGGATCTCATCTCCTCTAAGGAGCAGAAGAAAAGTTCTATCTTGCCAGACCAATAGAAGCGCTGCAGAAAGATCAGTTAGGTGGAATTAGCACAAAGGATGTGTTAGCTTACTTGTACACTGACAGTCTCTTGGGAGAGGAAGAAGCAGCAGCAGCGGTGGAGCTGGAAGATCTTGAATCTTTGGAGTCCCTCCTTTATAAGGGAAGAAAAAGAATGAGGGGCGTTGGCAAAAGATGCAAACATTGTTAAACGTCCTTGGTACACAAGCTGCTTGAGGCCAGGTCAGACTGTCTGTTCATCCAGTCCAGTATTCTCAACAATGGCTGGCAACTGTTCTCCAGTGTACCAAGCTGAAGTCCTGCAGATACTGCGTGTGTTCCATTATGGACTTCTAGAATGTCCAACTTAATTTAGCCATTACCTCATCTGCTCCTCCCAACTGTATTTCAGTACTAGAACCACAGCTAGAACTAAACCAGAAGGGGGGAAAAGCTAGTGGCTGAACCATAAATTGAGTCTTTTGACCCATGAATTACACTTCCTTTCCATCAATCCAAAGGCAAGCCATATGTCATTTCCTGCTTCTATTTGTCTACCAGAAAGTGTTTTGCATGCAAGAATCCTATTCAACCCTCTGAAAGCTTGGAATGCTGTTGGTTACTGCATTACAAGCCACTAATTCTGGCCACAGGGCTGGGAAGGGTAGATGGCCAAATATCTAGATTGCAACTTCATTACTACATAAACGACCAGCCCTCATTTAGTAGAGAGCTAAAGAACAGTACTGCAATTACAAATTCATTTATAATGCAACATTTGCATACACAAACAACAACAGTTGCTGTTGCTATTGCAGCAATGGTGGGGGGGGGTGCTCCATGGATATTAATTTGACTGCAGTCAGCTAAAGGAAGGTTCCCCTTTTTCCTTTCTAATTGTTCACTTCTTTGCATCTTTAAGAGCCTTCCTTGGTGAACAGAAAAAGTAGGAGCTCTCCCCAGAGTGCAAAAAACATACCTCTCTTTTTTGAGCTCCAAGTGTGACTTTTGGGAAGTAGATGCATCCTTGGGATCTCTGCATGGTGAGAACAAATGTTAGACTGTGTTACATCTTGGCTCTACAATACCCCGAGATGACTTCTTTGATGACATAATGAATGACTGCTGCCTCAGCTCTGCAATGCATGGCCATAAGTCATTCCTCAGTCAGTTTTCTCTAGATAAAATAGGATGATCGCAGAATATCACTCTTCCAATGGCAAAAACCACTGGAGCATAAGACAAGGAACTTCAAACTTATTTTCCTTTCCTGCTCAGCTTTCTCCAACCTGGATGCCTCTACAGGTGTGTAACAGTTGGTTCCCAGAGAGAAGCAGATTCAAGAGCTTATGTAAGCAGCTGGTTGCAGGCTTCTGTTTCGGTGAAAAGATGTGCCTCCCCACCGGATCGCGGGAAGGCTGTTAGAACAAACATCTCCACCCAAGTGTACATGGGGATCAATGGGTTCTAAATGGGAAAGAGTTTGGTTGCTAAAATTCTTGAAACGTCTTCTGTTTCATCTCAGTCAGCCTTGCTTGGAAGACTTATTTTCAGTTTCAGGCAGCTGCCAGACAACCTGAAGATAGACAGGACTATAACTGGGATTCCCTGGAGGAGTTCTAAACTAAACTTTGGAAGATTGTGTTAAGGTTATAAAGTATTTCAAGAACTGTTCTATCCTGTTCTTTCATCCTGAGAAAGGATGTTGAAGATTCCCCACCCGCCACATCCAAGCAGAGGCCATTATTTCTCTGTGATTGTGCTTCCCTTCCCTTAGAATAGCCTCTCCCTGAAGGTGAGAATACCTACTTTTCCCTTATTTAAGAAGTCCATTTAAACAGGGCTGTTTGATAGACCACTTGGGAAGTGAAGGTTATCACAGAGATTAGGGGCCAAGAGT